ATAATGATAATATAAATAATAATAATTGGGAATGGCCTCAAGACACTTCAGTCAGTAGCACCGCCCCGTGGTGGGTAAAAAGCTTATGTATACATGTAGGCACATGAATTTTATGTTACGATGAAAGTATTGTAAAAGCAAACAGAGCTGCATTGCCTGAGAGTGGGTGCTTCAGAAACTGTCTGCATTGTTATTATCATTATTTGGAGGAGACAAATGACAATGAAAATGAGAAAAAGAAGGAGGAAGACTTTTGTCCAAACTATAACACTGGGGGCTCCAAGGAGGAAGACTTTCGTCCAAACTATAACACTGGGGGCTCCAGTGGCTAAGTGAGTAGTGAATTTTGACTCAAGCAATGTCAAGCAAGTGTCGGTGACATGGGGATCAGATGGGTGGTCACTGGAGTGTGTCCTTGAGCAAGACACGACTACCCTAGCTCAAATTACAGGGCGCTGCACAGTGGCGACCGACAGTGGCATTGTTTGTAAACTGTTCTGTATTTGTGTATTTATGTATGTATTTATGCATGTATGTATTTATGTATGTACGTATTTATAATTATGTATTCATATATGTATGTTTGCCATTGTAAAACAAAGTGCCCTTCTGGGACAAATAAAGGTGTAATCTATTTATTTATTTATTTTTATTTATTTATTTATAAATAAATCAATTTCCCTCACCAAAATCTCTGTACTGCTGAACGATGCGATAAACTTCATTGACGCTGATCTCACAAATGTAAGCATACTTCGCATCAGAAGCTCCAACACTCCAGCCATATTCAGTTCCTGGAAAAGAGAGAAAAAAACGGTATATTTATAGAAGCACTCCCGTTTCGCGTCACATCCACTACCGGAAGTCAGCTCCTTCACCACTTTAGTGCCGTCGGATATACGAATAAGGTCATTTTTTTTTAGTTATGGTTTAGTTTTAGGATTTTTTGGGGATAATGCATGCTTTTATAGACATTAGGGAGGTTTCAAGGGGTCTCCCCCTGACTTGCGAGTACGTTATAGCAGTGTAGTAGGTCGGGTAGGGGGGGGTCCCCCCCCCTGAAATAAAGTGCCGTAACATCTAAACTAACAATTTGCGACGTTTTTCAATGCCAGAATCGTGTTCAGGGCCCTGAAAAACCTTCAAAAAGCTACAAAATACCCTTTATGAGACGGGAGGGTTTCTATAAACTTACCAAAAACACACAAAAAAAACATTATTGAAAGAAGAAACTTGGCTTTGAAAGTCCACATCTTTCGTTTTGGTTCTAACCATGCAACTGGAGAAAACTCTTTTTACAGTACAAGCAAGCAGATCATCATCATCATCATCATGTTCAAGATCTGCGGCAGACATCTGCGATCATGGTTCTCCATTCATTCCTTAGCACGGATGCTCTTAAAAAAGCTGCATTACACTGATCTTTCCCCGTTACCCATCTGTTTAGGTTCCCCTAGTAGATTGCTCTGGGCCTACCCCTGCCTCATCTGCCTTCAATTTTGCCAGTGAGAGAAAGACCTTTATGTCTTTTCATGTGTCCCAAAAAGATCATTTGTCTTTTCCTGAAAGCAGATAATAATGAAAAATATGGAAAACGAAAAAAGAAAAAAACAACCACACAGGTTCAAGTCAGAAGATGTGCCAAGCATGTAGCTTTAGTTTAAGTAAGAGTTTTACGGCAATTGCAACACAATAAGGTCATATAAGTGCTAAAGATAGGAGGTGCTACAAGAGAATAACTCGAGGGGAGATACAGATGATCCCACCAAATATCCCCCACGTTTAAGAGATTAGAAAAGAGAGCGGGCATGACCTGTGTAGGAGTAGATGACAGGAGATCTCTCCAGGCGATACTCTTCAGGGAGGATGAACTGGTTAAACTCGGTGACCAGGGTGCCGTCACCGTCCCATCGTACTCCCGTGGAGGTTATTGTACCGCTGGTCCACCAGTCCGTTCTGGGGAAAACATAGGAGAGGTTTAGTTTTAGTAGAGTTTTTGGGTTTTTTTGTTTTTTGTAAAGTGTTTTACGGCGCTCGCAACTGCATAAGGTCATATGAGCGCGCAGGACACACCTAATATTTTCAGTTGGAAGGAAATTTTGAATTTTGCCCGGGTGGCGGCCGAAGCCTACTCTTATCGATTTTAGACCACCAAGGAATCTTTAACGTGCGCAACTTGCACACGGGCTCTCCGAGATTTTTCGCCCTTGTCTGAGAAGGCTAGGTGTAGATCTTTCCTACCAGAAGATCGGGGGTGTGGCTGAAAGACAGCAGTAGGAAGAAGCGAAGGAGTAGCAGTAGAAAGGCTGCAGAAAGAATCAGGAGCCCAGAGGAAGGGGCAAAGGAGGTGAGGGGTGGGGGCAGAAAGAGGAGACGAAAGCAGACAACAGAACATTGCTTGAGAGCAGGAAATGTGGAGAAAGGAGACAAATTTAGAGAAGAAAATTTTTTGGTCGCTACCCGAATTCGAACCCGGGACCTTTGAATGAGAGGCCAACACCTTAGCCTCTAGGCCACGAGAGTCCCCCAGTAAAAGTTTTACAGCACTTGCAACACAATAAGGTCATATAAGTGCTGAAGATTAGAGGTTTAGTTTTAGTAGAGGTTTTACGGCGCTCACAACTGCATAAGGTCATATGAGCGCCAGAAGATTAGTGGTGTTACAAGAGAGTAACAAACATTTTAAAAAGGAGGGGAGATAAGGACGATAGATGTTTGATAGGAAAGAAGAAGCAAACCACACCAGAGCACCCGCCAACCACCCACAAAGATTAGAGGTGTTACAAGAGAGTAACAAACACAAAAAAGAAGGAGGGGCGATGAAGACGACAGTTGTTTTAAAGGAAAGAAGGAGCAAACCACACCAGAGTACCCGCCAACCACCCACATGAGCAGAGAGAATGACACCCTCTGAGGACAGCAAAGGGAACGAGGGAGGAACCCAAACAGGATGTACCTCTGCTGGTCATTCGCCCGAAGCCATCGGTCAATAAACTGATGCTCCTTCACCGTGTTGATACTGAGTAGAGTGGCTCCATCATTCTGAAGATGAAAACATTCAAGTGCAGTAAAACTTCCAGCAGGTGATTTAAAAAGATTACAATGTATGTACATTCATGTACACATACACAGTCGCTCCATCATTCTGAACATGAAAATATTCAAGTACTGTAAAACTTCCTGTAGGTGATTTTAAAAGATTACAATGTCACATGAATATGTACATTCATGTACACATACACAGTCGCTCTATCATTCTGAAGATGAAAACATTCAAGTACAGTAAAAATTCCTGTCCAGAGGGCATATGTAGGGGATTTTAAAAGATTACAATGTGTATGTACATCTACGTACACATACACATATATGTGAGGCAGCGTGGTTAAATCAGGCGCTCGTCAAAATAACCAAATCGGAGAAACAGGCATTTTTCTGGCAGTTTGGAAATTTTAATAGAATTTTCAGTTTTTGGCCTAACCACTTTTATATCCGTACAAAAACAATATTACATGTGAATTGTACTGAGAAACATTGATTAAAGGCACAAATTATGTCATTTTTCAGTTTTCAAAGACTCTTAAATAGGTATTAGAGGTACCAAACTTTGGCTTCCATTTACTCGCTAATTTCAACACTGAAACCAGGCAACCTCACTTCCTCTCAAATAACTTGAGTTCTATCCAAGATAAATGGATATTTATTTCATCGGCAGCAAAGCAAATAAATCAGCTTTCAGACAATACCAATTTAACTCCACATGCTCAAAAATTGACGAGCGCCCGATTCCACCGCGCCGTGACACATATTCAAACAAACAGACACACATACATAAGTCAACTGTAACACAGACCACTTCCTAAAAAAAAAACCCTTCACAAATGTAAATGACAACTGTCTCGATTTACCTTTGGAGGTGACAGTAATGTTTGTTTGTTTGTTTGTTTAGTATAGGGTTTTACGGCGCTCGCAACTGCATAAGGTCATATGAGCGCGCGGGACACACCTAATACTTTTTCGTTGGTAGGAAATTTTGAATTTTGCCCGGGTGGCAGCCGAAGCCTACTCTTATCGATTTTAGACAACCAAGGGATCTTTAACGTGCGCAACTTGCACACGGGCCCTCCGAGATTTTTCGCTATTGTCCGAGAAGGCTAGGTGTAGATCTTTCCTACCAGAAGATCAGGGGTGTGGCAGAAAGACAGCAGTTAGGAGGAGCCAAGGAGTAGCAGTAGAAAGGCTGCAGAAAGAGTCAGGAGCCCAGAGGAGGGGGCACAGGAGGTGAGGGGGTGGGGGCAGAAAGTGGAAATGAAAGCAGACAACAGAACATTGTTAGAGATCAGGAAAGGATGTGAAAGGAGACAATTTTAGAGAAGAACATTTTTTGGTCGCTACCCAGAATCGAACCCGGGACCTTTGAATGAGAGGCCAACACCTTAACCTCTAGGCCACGAGAGCCCCGGGTGACAGTAAAGACTGGTAATAGTAGCCAAAAGATGTAAAGACATCGTGCCCTGCAGTCAGTTGAGTCTTTTTTTTTTTTCGTTTATCCGCCGCTTATACCCTCTTGGGTGTCGCGGGAAGAAAGAGACGTCTCTGTCACCAGCCGGACAGCTTGGGTCAGGGGGATGCCGTGAGTTGTTAGTGTTTCCCTGACTCCATCTATCCAGGTTTTTCTCGGTCGCCCTCTAACCTTGTTGCCATCGAATTTTTTTATGTAGGCACATTGTCAACAAAAACAAAACTATCCGCCTTGAAAATTAAAACCAATAGTTTCCGCGCAAGCTGAACGAACCAGGGTCTAATATTTCATCTCATAAAATCTCTTTAGTCTTAGAAGAGGTTTTACGGCCCTCGCAACTGCATTCACGGTCATATGAGCGTCAGAAGATTAGAGGTGTTACAAGAGAGTAACAAACATAAAAAAGAAGAAGGGGAGATAAGGACTATAGATGTTTGATAGGAAAGAAGAAGCAAACCATACCAGAGCACCCGCCAACCACCCATGAAATTTCTTTGAGTCACATTCGAGTGGTGTACGCTAAAGTGTCAGTTTTAGCCTCACTTTTGAGAGTTGGGCTACTTAGACTGATTTCACCCAGATTAAAATATTTCCAGCTTTAGTACTTCATCTAATAAACGAACTTCCGATAAAAGAGACCTGTTTTCGGCAATTGCCGAAAAGTAATTTGATGTCGAATTCGACATAAAGGAATAGGAATGTGCCCTAGCCGCTGTCAGCCGCTCACTGGAACAGCAGTTCCGACGGCGAGCTGCTGGAAGCGGCTTGCCGGAGATAAAGAGTTAAGCTTTAAAATGTAATATTTTTTATTTCTGTAATGCATTTTTTCAGAAAATGGAAAAAGCACAGCATAAATTCTATTTATTATTACTATTATTAGTTCTAGCAAAAGGAAGTTCACAATTCACACACATTAACACTTGGCAATTACACAGCCAGCAGTACAAAACACCCCATCTGGTCACCCATGAGCCAGGAAAGCGACTGCAACACATTTCTCTACCAGGTGCACAACTGGGCTAGGTGACCAGAATGGACCATTTTCACAGGTCCATTATTGCGCTAAGTGACCGCAAAGTGTTAAAAAAAGACTTACCTGGCAAACAGGAGAGGCAGATCCCCTAGTGAGGCGTGGAAAAGCATAAAATTTGTAACATTTTTCGCCATACTTCTCCCAGCCTCGATCGGTCGGGCAATCTGAAAAAAACACAAGCAAGACCATATTCAGTCATTGCATAACGGTACAAAGAAAGTTCAGCTGTTGTATCATTTGAAGAATGTAAAGAGATCGACAGAGCTCTGTTAGCTTTAATAGTGGAAATTTTCTGAAATTTTTTTTTCAAAAAAAAAAAAGGAAGTCCCCATGCTACAAACAGTATGAAATGAAAGAGACCCAAGATTTTAATTAGAGCAAAGTAATGACACATGAATATGATCTTTTTTTATACACGAATTCACGTATGATATAAAAACCACCGAAGTGCTTGCTTTATGACCTTCTACAAAACAGTCCAACATCATCTGCTCTTCCAATGTCCCAAACTACAGGATTAGGATTCTCTTGGACGACAACTTCTTCCTGCTGTTCCTACCACAGACAACACCCTATACTGCAGCAAACAACACACATCATGAAGAAATCCACCTTATTTAGCCCAGCATTGGGCAAAAAGGCGCACACACACACACATACGCACTCACACAGACACACACAGACACATTCAAAGACTACCGGATTAACAGCAACAGCACACATTCACATTGATCAAATGGCTGTGTGTTTTGGATCAAGCTCTCCATCCCCTTTCACTTGTCTTGTCTTGCGCCACTGACGTCACTATACTATAAGATGCACAATATTATACTAAAGTTCTAGTAGAGGTTCTACGGCGCTCGCAACTGCATAAGATTATATGAGCGCCAGAAAGATTAGAGGTGTTACAAGAGAGTAGCAAACATAAAAAAGAAGAAGGGGAGATAAGGACAATTGATGTTTGATAGGAAAAAAGGTATTATACTGTACATGTAAGGTGAACTGTATATATTTGTATCTGATTTACATTATAACGTGAAATGAAAGAAGGATTTTTAAAAATATATGCTTTATTTCTACATTGTAAAAGAACTTACTCCAAATTTGCTGCACAGAGGAGCCTATCAGCAACAAAAAACTAATCAAGAGCAGGTTCACCTCCATCATGATGTATGTTATACTGCTATACCTGTGAATACACAACATTTAGCATTAATTTTCAACTTCAATAAATACAACATTCAATTGTTATATAAAATAATATCAGACGTGAAATCATATTTTCCAATCTTATGAGCCATCATCCGCATCATCTCATCATATGATAATATGTTTCCCTGCTTGTTAACATTAACAATTCTGTAAGAATAATTTGTGTGAAGAGCACATTGATACGTTCCCACTACACCACTACTAGACTAATAATAAATATAAGTATGGCTGGTGTTAGAGACGCGTACCGTTCAATAACGCTGCACTGTTAGGGACGCGTACGCGTCAATAACACAGGACAGTTCGGGAAGCGTACGCGCTTCAATACGTTTCCTCAGCACTACGAAATTATTGACCCGTGTTTTTGTGACTTCGACACTCGTCGACAGTAGTGCGAAAGATGTTTCAATTGTCCCTTGGAGAGAGAGAGAGAGAGAGAGAGAGAGAGAGAGAGAGAGAGAGAGAATGGGGTAAAAACAGATAGAGAGAGAGGGGTAAAGAGAGAGAGAATTGGGTAAAAACAGAGAGGGGGGAGAAACAGAGAGAAGGGGGGAGACAAAGAGGAGGGGGGGATGGGGGGTAGAAAGAAAGAAAGAAAAAGGGAGAGAGAGAGGAGGTGAGGTGTTTGTTAACATAATAAGAATGGTCATTGATTCCTGTCATTTTTCTCTCTGCGCCGGTTCACAGGCTGTAAAACCTTATACTATACATATACACAGGCTGACCCGGTGCAAAAACAGTCATTATTGACATTACACACACATAACGTTGCCGTCGTGCACAAACCTCCTAAGCGCCACTGACACTAAAGAGAAGCAAAAAAACTGATGAAATTCTTAACATTTTAAAAAACTTTTCAACTTTGCTCTTGAGTGAATCATTGATGATGGCTTGTGTGTGTGAGTGTGTGTGTGTGTGTGTGTGTGTGTGTGTGTGTGTGTGTGTGTGTGTGTGTGTGTGTTTCTTTTTCTCTCGATCTCTCCCCATCTGTCGAAAACACACACACACACACACACACACACATTCATTTCCTCTATGTATCTGTCTTTTTCATTCAGAAAAACACACTCTCTTTCTCTCCCTCTCTCTGTCATCTGTCTCGCTCTCTCCCTGGCATCTCTCTTTCGCTCTCTCTATGTCATTTCTCTCTCTCTCTCTCTCTCTATGTCATTTCTCTCTCTCTCTCTCTCTGTCATCTCTCTCGCTCTCTCTTTATCATCTCTCTCGCTCTCTCTCTGTCATCTCTCTCGCTCTCTCTCTGTCATCTCTCTCGCTCTCTCCCTGTCATCTCTCTCTCTCTCTCACACACTAGTCCCACACACTCTCTCTCTTTCTCTCTCTGTCATCTCTCTCTCGCTCTCTCTGTTTCATTTCTCTGTCTCTAACATTAGTCACAAACACTTTCTCTCTTTCTCTGTCCACACACACACTCTCTCTTGCCCTTTTTAACTCCCAGTGGAGCACAGGCCATCAACAACATTACTCCAGCGAAGCCTGTCCTGAGCATCCTTTTCTATCTGTTTCCATGATGTACACACAAACACACATTCATTTTCTCTCTGTATCTGTCTTTTTTCATTCAGAAACACACTCTCTCCCTCTCTCTGTCTCTCTCTCTCCCCCTGTGTCATCTCTAACTGTCATCTCTCCCGCTCTCTCCTGTCATCTCTCTCTCACTCTCTTTGTGTCATTTTTCTCACACACTTTCTCTCTCTCTCTGTCATTTCTCTCGCTCTCTCCATCATTTCTCTCTCTCTCCCACTAGTCACACACACTCTCTCGCTCTTTCTCTCTCCATCTCTCTCTCTCTCTCTGTTTGAGCGTTCGCGCGCTCTGTCAAACACACACAGACACAGAGACACACACACATTCTTTTCCTCTCTCTATCTCTGTCTTTTTTCATTCAGAAACACATTCTCTCTCCCTCCCTCCCTCCCTCA